GTCCTGCGGAGTGGCACCTACTTAGTATTTAGTGCTGTGAAAATAAGTAATTAATAAGTGATAAGTAATAAATAAGTGTCTCCTTTTGGATTCGCTGAAATCCGACTATTTCTTTGGTGGTGATACATAATACGTGGCAAATGTGTTTCCATTGCCCACTTATGTATACCGGTTGGTTGAGGAGTGGTGTCGTTAGCTTTCCTGATTTTGCTGGGCGCAAATTTTTAACAAATTGTCTGCATCAAAATAGTACTCTAAGTCGATGTTTGGTACTCGAATCTAGCGCACGTCTAAAACACTGCAAACGGGCCTTCTTTCTATGACAAAATGATTGATTTGATGGATCATCATATGCTGGAACCTACATGGCTATATTCTATCATGTCCCTGTGAAGTCAATCAGCCTCAATCCATTTTCAGAAGTTTCGTCGTGAAGGCCTTATTTTTCTAAGATCCCCTCCTTGCTCTTCGTGGCTTTTTTATCGGTAAGCACAATATCGCTCATACCATTCAAGAAAAAACCATGCACCCGTACCGAGTCAGTTTTTGCTGTGGTTTTTGTACTGGCGAAGTCATCGCTCCGTACTTCTTTGAAAATGATGCAGTTAACGCTGTTATGGTGAATTGTGAATTTGATGGCATAGACTTGGACAATATGTGGTTTCAACAGGATGGTGCCACTTGCCACATTGCCCATGAAACAATAGTCCAGTTGTGATCGACGCCGATCCAAGTCCGCTAAAGGCATGAGTCGTCGATTCACCAGCCACTATAGGACCTGACTCAGTAATTTGAGAATACATTGTTAAGCTGCCAGGGTAGATATAACGGAAGTCGATTGGATTGTTTTAATTTGTTTATTTGCAGAAAATAATGGTTTGAGATAGGACTTCACAAAGGAACTTCACTTCCAGAACTGCATTTACTCCACTCACAGTAGAAAAGCGCATCGTTTATAAAATTAGAAGATACCCCACGGTGAGTTTTCGATACCTTTACACACTTTGAGATTTGTGAGTTTTATTATCCAAGAACTGATTGAAAAAAATTTTGCGCTGTAAACTGAATCCTTTTCTAATTTAATATGAAAAATTTGTTTCAGAAAATGCAAAATATGCTTAAAGCCTCTTCTTCATGTTTAGTGTCGTAACCTTCTAAGCGATTTGGAAGTCTATAAAATAAAGATATTTCTTAATATTTTCAATTAACTAATTTATTTAACACATCGTCGATTTTAAAGTCAACAACGTTCTTTTCTAACAAAAAAAATACTAAGTTATTCGTTATATCACATTCCAAGTACAAAATCTTTTGTCCAT